CCCATTATCTTGGGGGCAGCTGGCTGGCACAAGGCATTGTGTTCTGAGGGTGAGATCTGATTGATTGTACCCCTGACCAAGGCTTTTCTTAGACTCTTCAGCTCACTGTGCCCACCTGCTGCTTGAGAGCCAGGCCTCTCCCCCGCCGTGAGCCACAGGCTAGTGACCATGAAAGGGGTGGGCCTTCTCATTAGCCTCCCTGCCCAGCAAGGGTCTGGCTTTTGATTGTGCTGGCTGGCTGGTCAGCAAATGGTAGGTGAATAAATGGGCTGGTGGATGGATGGATGGATGGATGGATGGATGAAGGGAGGGATGGATAGAGGGATGGAGGGAGGGATGGAGGAATGGAGGGATGGAGGGATGGGGTATGTGTGAGAGATGGATGGATGGGCACATAGGTGGATAATGGACATATGAATGGATGGACAGGAAAGCAGATAGATGGGTAAATGAATGAGTGATGAACTGATGGATAGAGAAATGAGTAGGTGCGTGGATCGATCACTGAACGCTGGGTGATAGGATGTATGTAAACCTGTGATCCGTATCTAGAATTACATCACATCCTTTGAATTACATAAAAGGCAACTAAACCTATTTATTTCATCAGCAATAATAAGTGAGCTCTTGAAGCTTCTACCTGGCAACCAGCCTGCCCAGGATGCCATGGTCCCCAGCTCATCACCGGGTCCCTATTGTCCTCTTGATACCTTCTGTTCACCCCACCCCTTCAGGACCCATGTCCTCAGCACCTGAAGTAGGAAGTCCCAGAGTGGAGAGCTGAGAACGCCCTCTGTTTCCCCTGTGGTCTCCCAGCCCTGCTTGTCCCTCCCTATCATGTGGCTTGTCATCCCAGCACATCCTGGGGGTTACCATGGGACCCCATGTGACTGGGGAGAGATGGAGTCTTCCCAGGACCAAGTGGCTACAAGTTTATCACCATCCACATCTCAGTGTCAGAAGTGGCCAAGGCTGTGTTTGAACCAGGGCATCTGAGTCAAACACTCATGTGCCTTTTTACCCATGTAGAAGTCTCTCACCTTATGTCCTGTCCTGTCTCTGACATGAACAAAGACCCCAGCCAACTTTAGGCACCTCAGGGCTGTACCTAGCAGACCCCACGGGGAGGCCATCCGCTGATGGGGCACTAACCATTGACAGGTGTGCTTCTCAAGTTCGTCAAATCTCAGGGAAAGGAGGTAACTGAGCGACTGGGAGTTCAAAGGCCGCTCTCAGCACCTGGTGCTCCATGGCAACGAGAAGGGGCAGCAGGCCCTGGGCCTGGGGCTGGGGTGGCCAGTGGGAGTCCACATCCGTGGCTTCACATGGGCCAGGCCACCTTTGCCAGGGTGGGGAGTGGGAGTGGTCAGCCCCCAGCAGAGCAGTGCACAACCTGCCTCCCTCTGCATAGCAGTGGACACCCCAAAGCCGCAGACTCCAGGCAGTCAGAGACTCTGATTCACTCCTTCAGCCCCTTCCCTTGGTGTTGGAGACATGGGGGAGTCAGGCACAGGGCTGCTGTCCCCACAGTCACAGACCTTCACAAGACCAATGAGTGCCTAACTCCAGCACCTGCCCCCGCTGACTTCACATGGGGAGGGCAAGCCCAGATCCAGTAGTGAAGAGTCGGCACAGGGCCTCACCCATCTGATTTTCCCTTTAGGGCCTCCCCCGCTAACCCTTGCAGATACCTGTGTCCCCTTAGCAACAAAGCAAGAGACACAGTCCACCTCCACCCCACTCCTCCTCCACCACCTGCCCCGACCTTGAAGACCCTGGGACTCCATGCCCTATGGAGGAAGTAGGAGCCCCAGGGAGATGCAAATGGAACACAATTGCTGCTAACTGAAAGGTTGCAGGTTCAAATCCATCCAGAGGCACTTCGGAAGAAAGGCCTGGCAATCTTCTTCTAAAACATCAGTTTCATCATACTAGAAAGGGCTCACAGTAGAAGACCCTGGATCAAGCAGGGAGACATGTGGAACAAAACTAAAAAACGTAAAGGCCAGGCTTATGGGTCTGGTGGAGATGGTGGAACCTGAGACTGTGGCACCTAGTTAAACTTTGAACCGGATTAACACTTCTGTGGCTCCATTTGCAGCCAAACAACAGACAGGATTATACAATGAACAATGAGTGCAGGAGACAATCATTTCTTAGACCAACCGACCACAAAAGATCCAAAAAGGCAATATTTGTCTGAGGAGGAGGTGCAGAGTCTAAGAAGGGTTAAATGAGAAGGATTAAGGAAATGAGAATCACAGGAGTGAAGTGGGAAGAGTGATGCCACATTGTGGGTGTTTTCATTCATGTCACATAACAATGTGTGTGAATGGTTAAATGGAAACCCAGTTGGTCTTGTTAACTTTCAGTCAAATAACAAAATAACAACGGAGGTGGGAGGAAAGAGTTAATAGCAATTATCAATTTTTCCCTTCAGAAAAAGAAGAAAAACAATCCAGCCAGGGATAGGCCTATAGATTTAAGTTCTATCCTGCACACATGGGTTTGCCAGGGATCAGTGTCCACAGCAGACAGTTAAGGAAGGGAGTGAGATGGTCATAGTTTGGAGACAAATGAGAGACTCAGAGCCTCCTAGAGTAACAGCTGGATGGACCAGGATATCTCGGGAGCAAAGGTGACTTATGGTGGGCAGAGCCTCACTGCTTCCTTTAGTGTTTTACAGTGGCTGTGAAGGGCAGTTCAGGTCTCAAGGACAGGCAGAGATTGGAGCCCCCAAGACCAGGAATCTTGGGCCAGGAGGTGGTACATCATGCCAGCTGCAAGCCTCACCCTCTCGTGAGGACTCAGTGTCTAGGGCTCTACTCTCACACTGGCAGCAGGGATGGGCAGGTATCCAGGGCTGGACCTTAAAGCCACAGCCCATCCTGAGCCCCAGAGTTCCCTCTGAGATTGGGGCACTGTGCAAAGGCAGGTGGGAGGGTCAAGTCAGTTCACGTCCCCCAGGGACCATCTGCTGGTGGAGGAGTAGTGAGGGCTGCGGGGGCTGGGACGCTGCCACCCTCCACCTTTCTAACCTCACATCTTAGGAGAGTTCGCCTTGCTAAGCCTCAGTTTCTTCTTCTGCGAAATGGGTGCATCAGCAGCGTGGTCTCCGATTATTTCAGATGTCTGTTCTGTATCATTCCAGATGTGACCGCTTTGTGAGACCAGTGTGGGCATTAGTCTGGGGGTCACTGACCTTCATGCCGTCGGGCATGGTTCCTGGGGATGTTGAGCCCTTGTGCTTTTGTCAGTATTTCCATCTGGTGCTGGACACACCTCTTCTGTCTGGCTGAGCTGGACAGACAACGGGCAAAACAGGCCTGGCCACACCCCTCACCTGAGCTCCAGGTGCTAGCCCCAGGGGGCCCCACCCACAAGCATTGTTGCAAGTTCACCTCAGGCAAAAGCAGGCATGTCCAAGGCCCCCACGGCAGGAGGCAAGGGTGAAGGAGTGATGGGGGTGAAGGAAGGGGACTGATGCGGTGCAGAGATGTGGAATAGTGGTCCTGGGGACTGGAGGGGCGTCAGGAGTTCTGCAGCCAGGCACGGAGAGTTCTCTGTTCTCTGTTTCTATCTCTGCGAATATGTACACACTCTGCTGCGTCTGGATACACACACACACACACGAATAAAACCCCAAACACTTCTCCACAGACAGTCCGGAATACATGTGAGCGCTCACAGTGCACACACACACGCACACACACAGATGTGGCAATACACTCCCCTCAGGAAAACACAAACACACATCCCTACACATGTGAACACACACATTCAGACAGACCCAGAGACACAGACACATGCACACCACTTGCACACAGACACACACACACGTACAAGAGTATATGTGTGAGAAAAGCTCACACTCACAGAAATAAACAGACATAGCCTCACACATGCAGACACACACATTCAGACCTTCCCAGAACACAGACCTGTGCACACACTGACACATACACACACACACACACCCCACACACACACACCAGAACCAATGCACATTTGTACAGGTGTGTGCCAGGAATGCACACACACAAGGGGCACACGAACTCTATCACACAAGCATCATACATACACCCAGGAACACACCTCCACCCAGGACACACACACACGCAGTGTGCACACAGACCTCTATCACAAGCATCACACATCCAGCATCGTACCCACCCAGAAAGACACAAGGGGTGTGTGTGCACGTGTGCACACCCTCCCAACCCCTCTCCCCCATACCCAGAAATGAACACCTACACACACACACACACACACACACACAGAGAAATGCACACCTGCACACTCACACAAACACTCAGATGTGGGCAGCAATAGTGTTACACAAACGCAGCCCCTCAGGAAGTATACACACACACACACACACACACACACACACACACACACACACATTCATGCACAAGCCCACTCTTTCTAGCCACACAGTCCATCCATTCATTTTCAAAACCCGGGGATTAACGCCGCCTTCGGCCCCTTCCTCGGTGGCAGCCTGCCGTCTGAGAGCAGAGGTGGGTGCAGTTCTGAGGGCAGACCCCCCTGTCAGCATAGGCTCACGTGGAACCGCAGCTGTCCCCTCGGGCTGTGCTGTAATCTATTAAATAACAAAGTAGCATAAAATAGTTTAATGTTTCAGTTACACAGACCCCCACGCTGCAAGACGCAGGAAACCCCTGCCTGTCAGGTGGTCCCCTGGGGGGCAGGGGACTGCTTGCCAGCGTCCACCCACAGTCTGGCCTGGACGCCCCCCTGGCCACCTGGGAGCTGCACTGAGCCTTGATTGCAGAGATGGGGAGTTCGAAGCGCCTCTGGTTGTACACAGATGGGGGTGGGGCAGCGCCCCCACGAGGTCTGTCCTTCGGGTGCTGTACGCAGGGACGCCGGGCATGGATCAGTCTACGTCTGCCTGGCCAGGCTGGCCGTGACCTTGACGCCGAGCGGAGTCCAGAAAGTGGAGGAGTAGCTTCGATGCCGCTCTGCACAGGGGGCTAGGCGTGGGCGCCCCGGCTCTGCTTCCGCCGCCGTCGCCTCCGGGGCCCCTCGCGGGGTGACCCGGCCAGGTCGCTGTGCAGCCGCCGCACCATCTCGTGGTCCTTGGGGTCCAGCACGCGGGGCAGGAACAGCGAGGACTTCTGCGTGCGGCGCGTCTTGAAGCCGCGGCGGGGCCGGCCTTTGCCGTTGACCGACACGTACCACAGTCTCTCAGGTGCGCTGAGCGGGCGCCGCACCCCGGACGCCCCGGGCCCCGAACGGTACAGCCGTGATGCGTAGGTGTTGTAGCCCAGCTCGTGGATGCGCTCCACAAACTCGCACTCTGCGCTGTAGCTCTCCTGTGGAGACACACGGGGTCAGGGCCAGAGTCACCGCTGAGGGGGCGGGGGAGAGGTAACAAAGTACAGGACGACAGGGGGCTGAGGGTGATGGGGTACAGGACCACAGGAGTGGAAGGTGACAGGGGTACAGGGCGACAGGGGTTGAGGGTGACAGGGGCACAAGACAACAGGAGTGGAGGATGACAGGAGCACAGGAAGACAAAGGGGTCAAGGGTGAGAGGTACTTGGGGGTGACAGGGGGCTGGAGGATGACAGGGGGTCGGAGGGGTCACAGGGTGACAGCAGGCTGAGGTCAGTTCCTTCCCTCCTCGGCCTCCCCTGCTCCTGCCAGGCCCAACCACTTACACTGTCCAACACCCCTCACAACCTCCAGTGCACACACATGCCCCAGGCCTCCCTCGCATCATGCACGGATACAGAGATGAGCATACACGCGTGTACACACGTGTACACATAGCTGTGCGAGCACACACATGTGCATCTTCACATATACACATGGACACACGTACACAAGCATGCACATACTGCAGCCATGTAGTCTCGAGACACGGACTGTCTGAGATAGACACACGCAGAGACCACCCCGTGATGACAGACACTGAAGAGACGCAGCCTCGAGACATGAAGACCATCTGGAGCCCCCAGGAGCCGGAGGAGGAGGGGAAGGACCTGCCTTGTTCAAGGTCGTGCTGAGCTCTCCTCACCGCTTAACTCTCCTCTCTCTCATCCTCAGTGGATGCTGTGGACTCCCTGAACCCCAGGGTGCACACCACTATCCAAGCCCAGGCTTTAGAGAAAAGGGGTAGCAAGCCTCAAGCCACAGAGATGTGATGTTGTTCTGGTGGGGACAGCCCCGCCACCCCGACCCTTTGCCTGAGTGGGCAGCCTCTGGGAAGCCCCAAACAAGCTCCTTGTCAGAGGAGGCATGTGCCCCCAGAATGGAGGCCCAGGACCAGGCAGGCCAAGGAGAGGTTTTCTCTTTGCAGAGAAACTTGTGGACAATGGAGGGACACAGCTTGCCCTCCTCAAAGGTAAGGGCCCAAGCCTTCCTGACAGATTCCTGCTGGGTGGAGGTGGGCACAGCACCTGATGGCAGCTTTAGGAACACCTGGTATGTCCAAGACGACCATGGAAGATGAGGTCAGCTCAGGGCCAGGCACCTGCGTTGACACTCCCTTGGCAATGGTCCCAGTGCCTGACGCACCCTCCACTGTCCCTGTTCACAGACACCCCTCCCTTGAGGCACTCCCACCCCCAGCCTCCCTTGCTTCCTACTCAGGGTTCCCCACGCGGGCAGCTCTCTGGGAAAGCCAGGCTGGGCAGTGCTGGGCCGCTGGCAGGCGACCAGGCTCTGGAGAGCAGTGTGCGTGAGGAGGACTCAGAGATGCTTTTCCCAAAGGTGTGTTGGGTGGAGGATGGGTGGGCTCTTCCTGCATGCGGGCATTTCAAGGACAGGGACACTTGAGACAGTGATGGTGTGGACAAAGGCTTGATGCAGCAAGTCGCATGGCTGGTTTGGAGAACAGACCCACCAGCCGTTTAGCGGCTGGAGCTGGGGAATGGGCAGAGGAATGATGGAGGGAGGTTGGTGCAGATGGGGACTTGGCCCGGCTGTTGTTTGGGCTGGGTGACAGTGCCTGGGTAGTAATTCGTACAGATAGAATGTGGTTGGATTTGAATTTTAGGCAGATCCCCTTGGCTGGTACTAGTTACAAAGAGTAGCATTTAATAAATGCCCAGGAGAGATTTGACTGATAGACATGTGAATAAGTGCCTGATGGATGATGGAGAGATGATGAGTGGGTGAGTGGGTGATGGCTGGGTGAGTGTATGATGGATGGATGGATGGATGGATGGATGGATGGATGGATGATGGATGGATGGATGGATGATGGATGGATGATGGATGGATGATGGATGATGGATGATGGATGGATGGATGGATGGATGGATGGAT